CCCCCCCCCCCTTTTCCATTTTTAGGTCACCTGAGTCACTCAGGTGACCTATTGCTATCTGTTTTCATCCATCGTCGTCCGTCGTGTGTTAACATTTGAACATTTTCAGCTTCTTCTCTGAAACCGCTGAACTAATTTCAGCCAATTTTAGCATATGGCATCTATGTGTGAAGGGGAACAAAATTTGTGAAATTCATGGTCCCTGCCCCCCTTGGGCCTGAGGGGTGGGGCTAAACAACCAAAATTAATGCAATCTTTAAAAATCTTCTTCTTTACTCCTGGACATCAAGCAGTCAAACTGTTGGGATGATTGTAATAAGCATTGACCCCTCTACCAAAATTGTGAAATTCCTGGCCCCAGGGTCGGGGATTCTGGTGCTAGGATCATATAGTGAAAGTGCATTATTTCTTTGAAAATCTTCTTCTCTACTCCTGGGTATTATTGAAACAAATTAAATACAAAGTTATGATAAGCAAGAGTGACTCTACCAAAATTGTGAAATTCATAGCCCCAGGGTCAGGGGTTCTTGTGCTAGGGCAGGGCTATATAGATCATATAGTGAAGGTACATTATTTCTTTGAAAATCTTCTTCTCTAGTCGTGGGTATTATTAGAACAATTTAAATACATAGTTATGTTAAGCAAGAGTGACTCTACCAAAATTGTGAAATTCATAGCCCCAGTGTCAGGGGTTCTTGTGCTTGGGCCGGGCTATATAGATCATATAGTGAAAGTGCATTATTTCTTTGAAAATCTTTTTCTCTACTCCTGGGTATTATTGAAACAAATTAAATACATAGTTATGATAAGCAAGAGTGACTCTACCAAAATTTTGAAATTCATAGCCCCAGTGTCAGGGGTTCTTGTGCTAGGGCGGGGCTCTATTTATTATATAGTGAAAATGCATTAATGCTTTATAAATCTTCTTCTCTGCTCCTGGGTATTATTTACACAAACTAAGTATATTGTTATGATAAGCAAGGATGCCTCTTCCAAAATTGTGAAATTCATGGCCCCAGGGATACGGGTTCTTGTGCTAGGGATGGCCTATATAGATCCTATAGTGAAGGTGAATTATTTCTTAGAAAATCTTCTTCTCTGCTCCTGGGTATTATTTAAACAAAGTACATTGTTATGATATGCACGGATGCCTCTTCCAAAATTGTGAATTTCATGGCCCCAGGGTCAAGGGTTCTGGTGAAAAAGGGGAGGCTCTTGATAATATAGTGAAAATGCATTAATTCTATTAAATAATCCAGTCTGCTCCTTAGTATTAAGCAGATAAACAAAGTGATTACTTATGATGAGCAAACTTCTGGGCTCAGGGTGAGAGGCTCTGGTGTTTCTCGATGGGGAGGGGGGCTCTATTGATACTATAGTGAATCTGTAGTAAAAATGCATTATTTCTTTAAAAATCTTCTCTGCACCTGGGCATATTAGAGGCAAAAAGAGTAAAAGTTTAGATAAGGTAGGGTATTTTTACCAGATTTTTGAACATCTGGACCATTTGGTCAAGTGTTCTGGTCCTGGCTAGGGCTCTATTAATTTATAAAAAAAAAAACTGGGAGGAGTTATCCCCCTTTGCCATTTACTTTTGATAATTAATCACTGTAAATAATGCACTTGAAAGGTTAATAGAATAAGAGAATTATGCAAGAATTTTATTGTATAATACAAAAAGTATTTTCATAGTTTTAATGATCAGGAAGACTTGTAAGTAATAGATAAATAAAAACGAGACAAAAATAACTTGTCTTATTAAATGAACATCAAAGACCAAGAGAGGCTAATGTAAGAGATTTCAACAAGGAATTAAAATAGTACAGAAGCACTTGATAGTTTGTTAATATACTGTATGGTGATAGTGATAAATGGGAAACAGATTAGAACATAATTTAAGAACTGTTAATGAATACCAGACTAATTATTTTGTTGACCCTGATCACCCTATTTTTCTTGCTTTTTGGGCAACAAAGCTTCCTCTTTCAGTTCATTTTATACTCCATGGATCCTCTAGATTGTTGTATTATGCTCAGGTGACCGCTAAGGTCCTTGGGCCTCTTGTTTTTCTTTTTAAATATGATGTCGAGTCACTTTTTTCTTATTTATATATTATAATGTGCACTATATTTTATCAATAATGTAACTCTTTTTTTTCTCTATAAGCTGTTTTTAAATATATCGTTTTTGACTAATACATAAATAGAGAGAAGGCTTGCAACTCTTTTCTCGTCGTCTGCCTCACCTCGCTTAAACTTTGCCTGATTATTTATCTAAATCATAAGAACACATGGAATATGCATAGGTCAATAAATTTGTTACACATTCTTCTTCATTTTCATATTTCCATTTATAATAATTTTTATGTGCCCCCGATTTGTAAATATTTCGATTAAATCGCCCGCATCTAAGGTAAATTTTGTTGATGTGCACCATATGATAATATATAGTGTATATTAGAATACAAAAATAGGAAAAAGGTGACTCTACCCCAGATTTAAAAAGAAAAAAAAATGGAAAAGGGGGGAGGGGGTGTCCATAACCCAAGTGCCTGTGAGGAATATATAGGAAAAAATCTTCAAAAACCTTCTCGTAAACAGCAAAGCCATGATTAGTCATATTGATATGGAAGCATCCTTAACTAGTGTAGATTCAAATTTGTTCAAATCTTGACTCCCAGGGGTAGGTTGGGGCCACAATTGGAGATTAAAGTTTTTTATAGGATCATATAAGAAAAAATCTTCAAAAGTCTTTTTCTCAAGATCAGCAACGTCATGTTTAGTCATATTGATATGGAAACATCATCAGGTAGTGTAGATTCAAGTTTGTCCAAAGCTTGACCCTCGGGGGTAGGGTTGGGCCACAATGCACTATCAGAGTTTAACAAACGGACGTATAGGAAAAAATCATCAAAAATTTTTTTTCAAGAACCTCAAAGCTATGTTTAGTCACATTGATATGGAAGTATCTTGAGGTAGTGTAGATTCAAGTTTGTTCAAATCATGTGGTGAGGCTACTTCTGAAAAAATCATGACACCGGGAGGGATAAGGTGGGGTCACAATAGGGATAAAAGTTTTATATAGGAATATATAATAGAAAAAAATATGCTGATGAAGAACAGCAGGGCCATATTGACCCAGGTGAACTTTGTGGCCCATGGACCTCTTGTTTTCTTTACCAATTTTTTGCAGAGAATTTCTCAGAGATGGTTTGTTCGAATTTTTTTCAAATTTTCATGGTTATTGTGTTGTCAAAAGACTTTTAACTATAACTCTTTAACGCTAAATATTCTGTCATAAATTATTGAAGCAGAAAAAGATTAAAATGTGCAACAATATATTATAAAATTTTGATGATATGATACATTATAAGGGGCCAGAATGCCAAATATTTGAAAACAGAAATAATCTTCTGAATAGTTATTGAACAAAATGCCTAAAAAATCACAAGATCTTATATCTGATATCAAGGAAAAGGGACTATCCCCTTAAATTAAGGACTCAGAGGGACCAAAAATTTTAATAACTCTTTATTGATCTATTATTTATTTTATTACATTTTGAGTAGAGAAATACTGTAATTTATTTACTGAATAAAAGTGATACTCAGACACAGTGTGAAAGGATATCAAAATGGTATTCTCACAGTGTGAGAATATCAGAAGGGCGGCAAAACTTCCCTTCACGAAGAGTGTTTTTTAAAAAAAAACCTGGCCTGTTATAAGATAGAGTTAATGAGCCATCCTGACAGAGACTAACAGTTACACTGCCAAAGTTTTTCCAAATATGTCCTAAAAAATCCATGTTTACAACGATTTTCAATCTTGCAATCGCTTAGCTCTCAAACCACTCAACTATGACGTCACAGCCTATGACACTGTGTTACGAAAAGACAGAAGCGGAGGGAAAATCTAAGAAAATGTAATAAGCAGAAAATTTAATGAGACAGGAATTTTTGACATTTTGAATCGTGCTTTGCACTAGAGAAAATATAAAAAAAATTCTGTCCCACTCGTGAAATGAATTCCATATTCATCTGCAAAACATTGAGTACCCTCTATATCGCCAACCCCCCTAACTCTGTCACTACCCTATCTCCGTCAATTTCAGGAACTCCGCGCTGTTTGAAAATGAATGCGATTGTGATATCATTTTTGCATGCTGAAAATCTTCAATCAAATGCCGATATACTATAACAAGTCAAGTTCAAGAATGCATCAAAAACGAATATAAATTACACTTAGTTTATTGTATCTATCAAATTTTATGTGAAATCAGTAAGCACCTTTTCCTTCATCGATATTCCATCGATATTTCCGACATATGCGTCAACATGCTCATTTTCACATGTCAGCTATTTTTATAAAGGTCTATGTCAATGGTTTTAGTTGACATACCATGTTGAATACGGCTGAAAATAATTAACTATTTGTCTACATTTGCATTAAGGTGTAATGTCTTTCTGGTAAGAGAGATAACTTTCAAAGGAAATTATTCCTAGCATTCCAATGAATTGTCTTACCAGAGTTTACTAATGACGACTATTATGTAGTCTATTTAATATACTAGTAAACTGAACTATGTTACAAATATTGATTTCTATTTTCTATTGCCAATATTTTTATTAATTAATTATAGAAAAGGGTATCAAAAACTAAACTAGGGGAAAAAATTGTCTTTAATATGTTTGCATACTGTCAAGGGCTCTGGTAATGGAGTTAAGGTTCATTGGACGTAATATACACGGATGTGATACACATTCTACTTAGTGGTGTTATATAAGCCCAGTTACTGCATTTTTTTGTTAATATTACTAAAAACATTAAGTTCATTACTATGTGTAGCAAACAAGAAACAAATTAAAAAATAATTCAGAGAGTAACGCGGGATTGTTTTGCGCTTATGGTGACGGAGTTTTGGTACTCAGTGATATACATTATTGAAGCAAAAAAGAGTTTGTAGAAACAGTTTTACATAATTCTTTTATTTATTTTTTTCAGATCTGCTCTCTGAGTATTTACAGTGGCTACCTCAATCAAAACATGCAGAGTTAAGGGACTCCTGGCCACCCATTACGTGACATTCACTGTATTTTTGTCACTTCCTTGTGTGATGTCACACTTTGTAGAGAACATGAACTGGTATTAAAAAATGTGGGTTAATTCTTAAGAACATTGTTACCAAATAAATCTATCAATTATGGGACTTTTTGTTTAGATCCATATTTCCATGGACAGGAGTGCAACATTTTTTTTAAGATCCAAGTTCTATGACAAAATGACACATTCATATAAATAAGTTTCCTTTGGTCAACAAGCATCCATTCGAATACTTAAGTACTAAATTATTTACAATTTAATTATTATTAAAATCTTTTTAAATTTTATCAATCCAGGCATCTTTTATTTTATTTTTTATGAATTTAAAAAAAACACTGAAAATTTATAATAAAATGTAATACTGTATGTAATTCCACACAACTTAACTGAAATAACACGTTCTGGTGTAATTTATGCTTCACCGTTTTACTTGAAAGTATCACATGCTTTTAGGGGATGCAGGGGATGCTTACTCCTCCATGGCACCTGATCCCACCTCTAAATTTTGAGGTCCATGTTTGCTCTGCTTCAAATTTGTATCCTTTCATTGGACTTTCGAGAGTGAATACTGTTCGCTATCTTCATATTTCATTTAGTCAGGATTGTAATAAAAATGTTAGATTTATCGATGATCAATTATGAATAAACAAAAACTGATGAGTAGATTGTTTCAGTTTGACTTTTATTGCTAATGGTGTTTGTCACATGAAGTAAAATGTCCCATAAAATTCTTATCTTATATTTTTAACTTCTTTTTTTTTGCATTAATAGGGAATATTTCAAGATAGGGCCATTTTAAAAAAAGAACGAGGGCTCTTTTGCTTTGGATTCAGCAGGAATCTGGGTGCAGTTGAAAAGTGAAAATTTCATTGATGTGACACATAATGTTTATACCCCTGCTCCGAAAAGAGGGGTATACTGTTTTACCCTTGTGTTTCTGTCTGTATGTGTGTGTGTGTGCCTGTCTGTCCATAACAAAGGAGATGGGTGAACAAGGTGTGCAGAAAGCCTAGCTCCAGATACTAGAATATAAAACAAAACATGTTCAATTTGTGAATTTAGTATTAAGAGTACAGTTCTCATTATTGAAATTTTTTAAATTATGATAGAAAAAAAACTTTTCTTAGGAAAATTTTCTCAGCAAAAATTATTCTCAGACTGATATTAAAAAATAATGTGGGATTCGAACCCTAGCTATAAAAGTCCTGCATTTCACTTCCCTTTGAGATTAACTTGCTTACCACTACGCTACACAACTCCTGAAGAATAGCGGCATTTAAATCATGTTTGTGATATGACCCTTGACTAAATGGACTTCAAGTATTTCTCGGAGAGGCACGAATGTTGTGTCATAAAAGTGTATTTTTATGGTAAAGAGGGTTTTTGCTCCATGTTTTTGTTAACTGAAAATGTACATCTTACGCAAATGTTGAGGATACGCTTTCGAAAAAATGAAGCGAAGACCCACTCATATTGAAAAATTGTGTTATGATATTAGAAAATAACCCTTTTCGCCCTCTTTAGTGTGTGTATGCTATTTCATAGGCAAGTAATTTCAATCTTCGTGAGACTTTTGCAAATTGTTGAGATTTTATATAAATTATACTTTAATGTTAGATGAACTATCAAAGAAAATTTTGATATAATTGAGAATTTATTTTTCACCTTCATGTTCGTGGCACTATAGAAATTTCACTTGCCTTGTTCGCCCATCTTTCAATGCAGTTTTTTCAGCAACTACTCATCGCAGATGCTTGAAATTTTTGCACACTCTTTGCTTAGGCATGCAATATGGTGGGGTTCATATTTAGCTCACCTGAGATGAAAGCTCCCCAATTGGGGATCAAGGTTTTACATAGGAATATACAGGAAAAAAATCTTCTCAAGAACTGAAAAGCCATGATTAGTCATATTTATATGGAAGCATCCTCAGGTAGTGTAGAGTTAGGTTTGTTCAAATCATGATCCCAGGGGTAGAGAGGGGCCACAATGAGGGATCAAATTTTTAAAAAGGAGTATTAGGAAAAAATCTAATAAGTAGGAAATATCTTTAAAAAAAAAAAAAAAAAAAAAGAACAGCAAAGCCATTTGTTATATTGATTTGGAAGCATCCTCAGGTAGTTAAAAATTCAAGCACCCACTCCCCACCCTCCATGTAAATTTTTCAATTCTGACATGATTAGTGCTTTTTCCTAGCGAATGTGGCCTCATGTTTTTATATAAAATAGCTTTATTTATGTTCCATAGCACTTGAATAAATTAGGCATAGAGTAAACAACCGGAGAATCTTAATCTTAATAAGAAATAGTTACCCAAGATAAACTATATGCTCCCATTCATGCAAGCACCTGATCTCAATGTTGAGCGATAAATTTCACATAGTTTGGAAAAGGCAATGATATATATATAAGTGTATAATTACGTAATTCAAAAAAAACATACTCATGAACCCTTAGGATGTATAGAACGATCAATAATTGGAAGGTGGATGGGCTTGGTGGTGGTTACCGAACTGGAAAAGGTCAACAACAAAAAAACTACAGGCACACTTACTTTGGCTTAGAATGATTTCCGATTTGTTTATTAATCACGTGGTTAACATAAAATTCATAAGGGTACTATTTTATAGATATAGATTAATGATATGTATTTGGGAAATAAACACTGATATAATCAATATTTTGTTTATGAAAACCCAACAGAAAATAAGAGAAAGTTCCACATATTTTCACAGTTGTATGTTAAAAATATTTACAACTATACTTAATAATAGACTGATGAAATGGTCCGAAAGTAACTTTATTTTAACTGATGCACAGTTTGGATTCAGACCAGAGGTTGGTACTATAGACGCAATTTTTGCACTGCAAAGTATAATTGATAAACATCTTTCGAATGGGAAGAAACTCTACTGTTGTTTTGTGGACTTCCATAAGGCATTCGATAGTATTAATAGAAATTATCTTTTCAAAAAGCTCATAACATTAGGGATCAAGGAGAAAATGTTTAACTGTATATGGTCTCTGTATAAGAATGTTAGGAGTTGTGTGAAATATAAAAACAATTTTAGTGACTTTTTTAAAGTAGAACAAGGAGTCCGTCAGGGAGAAGCACTGTCTCCTCTACTTTTTTCTTTATATTTAAATGATTTTGAGAATGCTTTTATCATGTCTAATTGTCAAGATATTAATTTCCAAGAAGTGTCATTGTTTTTAATGTTATATGCAGATGACATGGTATTATTTTCCGATTCTCCTGAAGGATTACAAAAAATGCTTGATGTGCTTTACTCATATTGTAATGATTGGAAATTATCTGTAAATGTAAGTAAAACTAAAATAGTAGTATTTAGGAAATCTGGTCGATTGAATCAAAGTTTTTAAAAATGGTATTATAACGATGAGGAAGTTGAAGCTGTCAGTGAGTTTACTTATCTTGGTCTCACTCTGACATACACAGGTAATTTTCATAAATCTCAGGTAAAATTGGCTACTCAAGGGAGGAAATGTATGTTTAAACTTTTGAAGTCTATGAAAAATGTGCATTTTAACTTTGTTACTTGTTTATCTTTGTTTGATACTTATGTAAGTAGTATATTGAATTATGCAAGTGAAATATGGGGATTCCACAAAGGTGATGCTATAGAGAAAATACATTTAGAATATCTCAAAATTATGTTGAAAGTGAGAAAAAATACCTCGTCATTGATGATCTATAATGAACTTGGTCGCTTACCTCTTTTTATTCAAAGGAAATTCGTATTATAAAGTTTTGGTTAAAATTATTGGAGTCAGAAAATTGTATATTGAAAAGTATTTACCAAGATATGCTTGAAAGAATTGAGACAAGTTCTTGTACAAAATATAACTGGTTACTTAATGTAAAATATTTATTATTTTCATTAGGGTTTGGAGAAGTTTGGTATTGTCAAAATATTACAAACAAAAATATATTTTTAAAAATTTTAAACAAAGATTAACTGACTGTTTCCAACAAAAATGTGAGGCTTTTTTTCTCTTCGTCATCAAAGTGTTCTGTGTATAGATATTTAACAAATAAGCTGTGCATGCAATCCTACTTAATGAAACCTATTCCAACCAAGTATATTCAATTGATTACAAAATATAGACTAAGTGCACATTTATTAATGATTGAGAAGGGAAGATTTACTTATATTCCTAGGGAGAATAGATTATGTTTTTGTTGTCAAATGGAGGTTGAAGATGAGTACCATTTTATATTAAAATGCTCACTTTATCATGAGTATAAGAAATTGTATATTAAAAAGTATTATTGGTATAGACCTAGTATGTATAAACTTTTACAATTATTATCAACTGAAAATGTGAGTGAACTAAGTAATATAGGGAAATTCCTCCAAAAAGCAGAAGCACTTAGAGATTTACATCTGTAAACTAAGGATTTTTTTCAATGTTTGGTTGGAAATATTGTATACAAACAATCGTATGTTAAAACAAGTATATGTAGATATTTTATGTATGTATATTTCTTTCGTGCTATACATCCTGTATTTGTAATGTTGTATTCTGATTATGTAATCTGATCAGCCATATGGCTTAAGGAATAAATAAACAAACAATGCTAGTAATAACATTCTACAATAATTGCCTTGAATGCTCATGCAGCTTATACAGAGATAAACCGAGTTGATCTCTAAGGATCAGAACCAAATAATAGTTGCAGAACTATAATAATATATCCTTGAGAATGCTGCAGGCTGGGGGCAATTTGGTTATGTGAAAACATGTTCTCTAGTACCTGTATGAATAAAGGCTGAGGGTTGGGAATGTTTTGTAACCACACACTTTGAAAAATTACGCACTGTTACAACAGGAAATGTAATAACGCAAAATGTAATAAAGCGGGATTATTGCATTTTGCATTATTACATTTTGCGTCGAGATCAACGCAGAATGTAATAACGCAAAATGTAAAAATATGATTTTTAGGATTATTACATTTTTGTATTACATTTTGAGTCGAGATCAACGCAAAATGTAAAAACACATTTTGCGTCGAGATTAAGCATATTATTTCTTTGTTAGTCTATTATACAGTAATACTGAATGTTTCAAAACTCTGTGTATATGTATACATTTGTTTACTTAGCAACTTTGTTGTATTTAGAGGATGTTTATCAGATTAAGGATGGTGGTGGTAACAATTTCTTTTGGGAACTCTCAGCTATCTCAAACACATCAATTATCCTGTTTGTGATATCTTCATTTTGGGCATTTCACACATGAATATTTATGTCATGTGTTATACAACCCCAAAGAAA